TTTATGCCAAGAAAATAAAATCAACAGATTCAAACCATCTTTAATCAAAACCACAGCAACAGATTTAAATGACACAAGTAAAAGCAAAACCAACAGAATGGACTAAATGAAATAAGTAATGATGGCTAAAGTAAAAAAAAAGTATTAGTTGGCATGCTTAAAACAAGGAGGTCAGTCAAGCAGATGGTGTGTGTGTGTGTGTGTGTGTGTGTGTGTGTGTGTGTGTGTGTGTGTGCGTGTGTGTGTTACAGAGATAAAGAGATTCTTGCAACAACACGTAGGTCTCTGAGTCACGTTTCCTGGCTTCGGGCTAACTACGGTTCCCACATCTCCTCAGCTTTGTGGTTTCATGGTTCCTACAGATCAGACTGCAGTTACATCAGCTTTCTTCGTGACTCAGATTTCACCCGCAGCGTCTGATCATCAACAACAGTTGGGTAATCTCTAAATAAGAACTCTAATAGGAGCACTAGCATCACCAGATTCAGCATGAGCCAGGTGTGAAGATGCTAACATTCTTCAGATTTTGGTTTTTTGTCATGCTGGATCAAACTACATGTTGAAGTGCCTCTGCAGCAGAATCTGTAAAGCCACACAGAACAGCTGATCAGTCGTGTTCAGCAGTGTGAGGCTCATAAAAATGCGGGTTGGGGTGACAGAATGGATGAAGTAGATGTCATTTCCTGCATTTAAGTGTGTTTTAACGTGTGAAATTATAATTGTTACTTATTTTTTTACTGACAACAGAAATGAAATGTTTGGCCTGGTTTGTTATTTAGTTTGAACCCAAAAGCGAGCCTAAGCCACGCCCATCTACTTCAGCTCCATGGGTCCCTACTGGCCAAAAAAGGAACAGGAGTCTCTGACAGGATATGAGTTACGTCCTGATCCCACAGACTTTATGTGTGATTTCTGTGAATTTTAAAAACACATTTGATGCCAAGAACACGCTGATTTTCAACATGGGATAAAATGACTTTAGGTTTTGTGTGAAAGCATGTTGAGGACTACAACTGCAAGTCTCAACAAATTTACATCATCAAGCCAGACACGCACGTGATAGATGTCTTGAGTTCAGCGACTGCACTTTATTCTAGGACACATGTGTCAGATTCAAGCCCCGTGGAGCATTTTTATGTGGCCCACGAGACAAATATCAAAAATATATTAAAAATGACCCGCTGACCGATTTTACCGCAAAGACTACAACTCCCATGATGCTTTGCGACGTTAGGCGGAGCCGAAGCTCCCCCTCCTTTGTGGTTTTTCCAGTGTCTGCTGTCTCGGACAAACTAAACACTCCTCTCACTCAGCGCCGAGTTCACTCAGCTATTTGCCGACGTTGAAGCCCAGAAACGGAGATTTTAACCGCTCAGTAATGTGTTCACGACTGAAAGAGAAAGTTTTCCAACTCACTTCCAGACAGAGCTGATATAACTCCAGTGGGCAGCGACACGCTCAAACCAGCACGGCTCTGTGGCTGCTGTAGTTTTTATTTTTCCTCCGGTGAGCATCACAGTAAACCAGTGGAGCAAACTGAGCTTTAAATATGTTGGTTTTATGCTCTTTTTCTGCCCCAAAACATGAAAGTTAACAGGTGAGATGTTGCATTTTCATTTAAGATAAAATTACATTTTTATTTTGTTGTTGGCCCGTGAGAAAAGATTTAACCTACAGTAAACAGGAAGTGGAAAGGCTGCAGATAGATGAATAGAATAGAAAATCCCTTTATTGTTCCTCAGTGGGGAAAGCTAGATGTCACAGCAGCGATGACACGTATTACAGGAGAAAAAAGAATAAAAAATAAGAAAAATGAATAAACAAGAAAACATAAATCCTGAATAGATTTTAAAAATGCTGAATATACCACAAGTAATGAATACCACTGATGTGTTTGTTTAAAACCGACTTGCTCGTGTGTAATTTGGTTATTGCACATTCAGTGTTAATGCAAAAATAAGTTTGTTTCCACATAAAAAAGTTCTAAATTGCATTTATGTTGATAAAGAAAATGTGCAAATTTGCCGTCACTTAAAAAAAAAAAATTAAGTTTGGCCCGCGACTTCGTCCCAGAGTTTCATTTCGGCCCCGTGTGAGTTTTAGTTTGACACCCTGCTGTAGGACGACAGAAGGAGCATTAAACTTGGAGAAACCCCCAATGATTCTGGTCACATGGTCAGTAGCAGCTGCGCGGGGAGAGGAGTTTCTGCTGTGACGTCATATATGCTGATTAGTAGTTATTTTATTTACCAGTTTTTACAAGCTGATAAATCTCAGATTGCATGGCATAGTCAGAACACACATGCAAACACAGAACACTGGTTAGTGTTGCCTACTTTTGACCCTACTCAGGTATTAGTCAGAGCCCTGACTGAAGACATACAGAGGCTGTAGTGACCCTGACCCTGATGACCTCTGCTGACACAACACAATGGGCCGGGGGCTAGTTTTACCTCACAAATGCTTCTATTGCCTCCTGGTTTTATGTTTTGGTGTTCTTTCACAACAGCTGCAAAACAGATGTTGTAATTATCTAACAGCAAACCAAAGCTATCTGCATCAACAGGTTTCAGAGCAGGACCGAGCTTCAGAGCTGAACAACCAGGTGGCGTCTCATTAAAAAACTAAAACAAATATACAGCAACTCTGAGCTCATGTCACTGTGAGATGTGTTAGAATATGTCAGGTTCAGCTCTTACTAAATCCTTCAAATAAGTTCAGCTCAAGGCCTTGCATCATTTCTATTGGAAAAAAAAGACAGTTTGCCATTTTCAACTATATTCAAAGTTGGTATGTTGACATTAGCAAGGAATACATACCGGTTAGGAACTCTCGGCGTAGTGCTCCTTCATCAGTGCCTTGTTCTCCAATAAAGGAAACACTTAGCTGGTTTTTGGGGAAGCCTGCTTCTGTCTGGCCCGCTGTTTCAGACCTCTCTGGTAAATGTCGTCCCTTGTCACATTAATGTTAAAGGTTTTAGTGTTGTCCACTCTTTCTTGTAGGAACTTCAGGATGTCTGATAAGCTATTGACAACAATGTTGTGTTTATTATTATTTATTTTAAAACCTACACATTAACAAAAATGTTTGTAAAAATTCAAACCAGCTAAGTGCTTGGAAGAGTCATCCACATCCAGTATGATGCTGTTCAGATGTGGAAACAAACTCTCATAACATGTTGTGTACAACGTGCATGGGTAAAGACATGCACCTGTCCTCTTCCTCTTCACCACAAAAGCTGGCATGCAGTTGTATAGACTCCTGAGTAAATTCTTTATCACACAATGGACATGAAATCTATTAAAGACATTTTTAAAATCAGTGACCAACAATCAGTGTTAAGTAAACAATAATGATTAACATGAAATGTAATTAAAATATTCTGTATATTGCTTACGTGCATGTTTGAAGTTTGATTTAAAGGGATATTCCACCCTAAGTGAAAATTTGTCTACTGTCTAAATTGGCTCCTGCAAATGTGTTACTTCTTACTTTTCATTTGCAGTCAACATGATTATTGAGCTAAACAGGAATAACTGGTATCATAATTTAGTAATTTTACACAGTTTTGCACGCAAAATGCTACTACCTCCCATTAACTTACATGGTTTATTCTCATCTAAAGCAGACAGACTGCTGGCAGATAAGAATTACTGCGCTGGTTAAAACAATCCTTTTTCATTCACTTATCCAACTCTGGGGAACACGGCACTAGAAAAAATTTCTGGATCTTTCCCTGACAGATATCTAGCCCCTCATAACTCGAGCAGGGGCGGATTTAGGACTGAAGAAGATCCGGGGCTTAACGCACGCACGCGCACACACACGCGCGCGGACACACACGTGACACGCACTAGTCAACATCATATATGTCTTGTACCACATAATTTTTAATCTGAAGCTACATATTCAGCATATTCAGGGCAGAGTATTGTTCCTGTTAGTGTTTAGTGAGAGATGATAGTAAATATTCCCTTTCTTTCTCCAACAACTTTACCTGATAGTAAGCTAACTTTAGCCAAACCAGCAGCACAATAAATATTTTCAAAGAAGACTCACAAACCTGAGTCAGCACCAGTCTCGTCAAAGCTGGGGTTCTGTCGCGGTACTTTTGGTCTAAAAACGTCCTTATGTCCATCTTCACTCATGCGTTTCAGGCAGAGAGTGTAGAAGAAGCCGGCTGCTGAAGGGCTTCTTCTTCAGTGGTGGAGGCTCAGGCAGGCTGTATACAAACTACTGCCAGCTGCGCCCTCTCTGTTGGACTTTGGTACTGCATGTTACTTCCGCGATTTAGATCCGGGGCTTTTCATGAAAGATCCGGGGCTTCAGCCCAAGTAGCCGGGCCTAACGCCGCCCCTGAACTCGAGCCCAGCTCCTGGATGAAACACCGGACATTTTATTCCATGTACGACCCTAATCCACCTAGCTGTGCCCCTGTTGCAATATTAAATGTGAGGAGTCGTAAAAAGTAGCATAACAAAACAATTTTTTGGAATAAACTGCAGCTAGTAGACTTGAAAAATAACTTACTAGAGCGTCTTGTTGGTTCTGGTCCATTTTGCAGGTGCAGGTGAAACTCTCGCTCCAGATCAGGGCGGGTATTAGCCAGGCTGTTAGTGCGCAGATGTGGCAGCCACACAGGAAAATCCACAGAGCATCAAAACGAGCGCACCCCAAAGAGGTTTGTTCCTGCCCAGTCCCACAAGTCTTTCTATTGGCTGAGCGGTTGCTAGGAGATTGTACTTCTAAGTTTTGAGCGAGAGCAGATAGCAGGGGACAGACTTGTGGGAGGAGTTTTGATCCGTGCAGAGAAAAAGTTGTCACGTGAGAAGACAAGTGTAAGAAGGTTAAATCTGAGCGCAGAAACAAAGATTTGAAGGAGAACAGAGTGAATTTGAAAGAGAGCAGACATTTTGAGCGCAAGCATTACAAGTTTTGAGAGCAATAATATAAAATCTTATTCTGAAATTAAAAAGTTGGTCTCTTGATATGAAATTCTGCTCTCAAATTGAAAGTTCAAGTGCTCAATTTCTGGCACTTTAATTCTTGCACGCCTCCAGAGTGCCAAAACTCCCAACAGCTGAGCGAGCAGAATCAGAAACCGAGCGCGCAGAAAGGCTGCCACACGTGCAGTGAGGCTGCCGCACGCATGTTTTCCTCTGCTGTGTGCTCGTTGGCCAACGCGCGCACGCAGGTTTGTCATTTGTGCACATCCTTGTGTGCTCACAGACACAGTTTGCTCCCTCTCAGTGTACAAATGACCTCCTCGCCATGTATATCTTCACTCGTGGAGGTTCTAACTTCCACGCGCAATGTGGACAATACGTGTGCACGAGATATGGCAGAATTCTGACACCATAGAATTCTTGCCTCCGTTTTTCCTGTTCGAAAGGTTTTAAGAGGTGCTTTGATTTTTTTTTAAATGTGCTTGA